CATGCTTTTAAATATATGACTTGTCTCTGAAACCCACCAAGGAAAAAACTGCTATTGTATTTTGTTCTATAAGTTATAGCCATGTAGTTGAAGGATAACTTGCCCATTCACAATTATTGATTTGTTTCTGAAACCATAACTAGAAATCTCTCAAATGTCAAATAGACCAAGAATATTTTCTTCTGGATGTCTAATATAATATCTTTTGAATTTAGTTAACCATAAAGGCATATCCTCCAGCTGATGAATAATTCAAATATGAGTCTTGGCATCATAGAAAAGAAAGCTCTCCTCCATTTTTTTTATGAGACACTCAATTCCACAGATACAATGTTTACTTCCCTTGAGGGAATAGCAGCTCCTGACAAGTGGAAATAAGGATTTCAGCAAAAAAAAAAAACTTGCTGTTTTATGTTTGTTTAAAACTGCTTTAATATTCTGTTTGGGTTCCTGCTTCAAATACATGGAAAGATCTTTATAGTCAAGGGAAATAAATCTACTGGTGAATTCAATAGACAAAACAGACTTGGTCTCTGCCTTTGAGTATCTCCATTTCAAAGAGCTAATCAAAGTAACTTGCAAAATCAAGCAATGTTACTTTGAGAGAACTGATCATTTTAGCATTTAGTATTTTGTTCAACTCACTGTAATAGAAGAGAATAATAAAATAATCAATATATGACAAAAATATAAAAGAGAGCAAAAGATGACTAACACGTACAGAGGTCAAGAGAGTATAAGATACTTGGAGTTTAGAAATAAGATGAGATCAATTGAGTTCAAATGTAACCCGAGGCAATGGATTGGAAGAAACAGAGAAAAGGCAGGCAGGAAGGGCTAGGATAATATAAGAATGGACATTATGGGTAAGAGCAAGCCCTTTGAAGTATGTGAATTAAGTGCAGGGAGGGTAGAAAAGCAGGAAAAGAGAGCACAAAACACATAAAGCTCCTTAAAGCACAAAACGCATAAAGCTCCTTAGGCAATGCCAGGGATGTGACAAGCGCTAAGCAAATTAAAGGAGGAAAGGTCACTAGTGAAGATCTTTATACCTAACTACTTGTGAAAAGAATAGTTTTGGAACATTTTACTATCTATACCATGCAATCTTTTATGTAATTTCTTCTTAGATTTCCTAGCAACTTTTAAGGTACATATAAATATCATTAATTTTGTTATACAGAAGTAGAATTTGAGGCTCAGACAGATTAAGAATTTCCACACTGGAATCATATCTTTTGCTGGAAAATGCATGGAATCAGAGGGCATCATATTGCACAAGAAAACCTGAACTCAAAAAGTCACACATTATCTTTTCACTTAAGATAACAGATTCTACCCTTTCAATGGCATAGCATGCCCCTCTCTGCTCATTCCTGTGGTCTCCTCTCCACGGTTTCCTATCTCTAGTGACCCCATATGGCAGCCCCTTCAAGAACTCCCATTTTTCTTGATTCTCTTTTCTCTCAGGACTCTTCCTCACCTTCTTAGCCTCAGCTGTGTATCAGACTCACATATAAGTGAGGAAGCCAGCAGAACTGGCTGCTATACACATGTGGTGCTAGGAGACACCAGGTTTGCCCCGCCCCCAGAGCAGAGCCCAAGAGCAGTTGGTCAGGGTTCTAAGTTGGCACCTCCAGCAGTGCCACTTCTGCCTTTATCTGGAGCACTTCTTAAGCCCAGAACTGGGCATTGCAGTTACTGAAATAGCCAACAGCTCCTTCTTTCTGGCTTTCAAGATTGTTTTTTAGACAATACTGTTCAGATTATTATACTTGCCACAAGTATTAGAGACCCTACATGCAAGACTATATCAAATTTACTCTAAATAGGCAACATAAAGCCAGTCCTTGTCCATGAAGGAAGACAAGATGCTCCCTTTTTCCCAAGTCTGTGTGAACTGGATTTAATATATTACAAACCGTTAGCCATGAATCCAACTTCTTAAATAGCACTAGTAGTAATCTTATACTGTTTGGTCTTTTCAGAACAATCTCACAATCTGAACCCAAAATATAGACCTTACTATCCTCATTTTACAACTGAAGATACCAAGGCACAGAGAAGTTAAGGAACCTGTCCAAGATCACCACAGTGATAAGTAGGCAGAATCTGTGACATAATTCAAGCAATCTGGCCAAGGGTCCAATATTGCCAATCACTACATGCTATGCCTTACAGTAAAAAACGAACCAACAAACAAAAACCCACAGGCATTAAGATAGACTAATTTATTTCTACTTCCTTTTTTCTTTTAATTCAAATGTGGAAAAAAGAGAATGTAAAAGTGAGGGCTGGGCTGGGAATGTGGCTTGTGGTAGAGAGCTTGCCTCGCATGCATGAAGCCCTGGGTTTGATTCCTCAGTACCTCATAAACAGAAAAAGCCTGAAGAGGTGCTGTAGCTCTAGTGGTAGAATGCTAGCCTTCAGCAAAAGAAGCTCAGGGACAGTGCCCAGGCCCTGAGTTCAAGCCCCAAGACTGGCCAAAAAATAAAATTAAAAAGTGAAGACTGAGAAGACCAAGAGGTTCTGAGCTCAGAGAATTCAGACATTGAAAGAGTCAGATTAGCTAAGGGAACATGCAAGCAACATCATCTTTTTTTCAGAGATACTGAGAAAAAAATTACAGAAAATTAACCACATTAAAGTGAACAATTCAATACCGTTTAGTGCAGCCACAATGTTACACAAACATCACCTAAATATAGTTCTAAAGTATTCTTTTCACCCCCAAAATAAAAACCTATGCTCATTAAACAGGAACTCTTCAGTGCTATCATCACCTCACTTTCCCACTCTTACTGCTTGGCAATCACCAATCTGTGTCCTGTCTCCATGGGTTTATCAACGCTGGATAATTCACTAATGGAATCATAATGTGTTCATGGTTTCTCTACTTAGCATGTATCAATACATCATCTCTTTAATGGCTGGATACAATTGGATTGTGATGTATATACCATAATATTCACTCTCATGGTTTCTCTACTTAGCATGTATCAATACGTCATCTCTTTAATGGCTGGATACAATTGGATTGTGATATATATACCATAATATTCACCCATCCATGACATTTGGATCATTTCTACTTTAAAAAAATGTCAGTTGTGGGATTTGAACCCTGGGCCTAGGAGCTCTCACTGAGCTCTTCAACTCAAGGCAAACATTCTACCACTTGAGTCACAGCACCACAACCGGTTTTTCTGGTAGTTAATTGGAGATGAGAGTCTCATAGACATTCCTCCCCAGGTTGCCTGCGATCCTCAGATCTCAGCCTCTTGAGTAGATAGGGTTATAGGTGTGAGCCACTGGTGCCCAGCCACTTCAGCTTTTTGACTATTGCTAAGAATACTGCTATGAACATTCATGTACATAGCAACATGTACGCTGACTTATTTGATTATCTATTTTCAGTTCTTTGAGGATAGGAATAAAATATGTCTAGTCTTATGACAATTCTATATTTTTGAGGAAGTTCTATATCCTTGGAAATCCTCCTTTAAGGCAATATTATTAATATATTAAATACTGTGAATCACTTTCTCCATCTTAGTACTAGTGATATTTGGGGCAGATAATTTTTTGTTGTGGAAGGCTCTTGGCATTGTAGCAATCCTGATCTCTATCCAGTAGATGTCAGTAGCTTCCTCCTAGTTTTTACAACCAATGATAGATAGATAGTTAATGTCCCCTGGAAAGCAAAATTGGTCTGGACTCTTCCCACTGAAAAGCACTGTTTTAATGGATTCACTACAAACTGGGAGTAAATAGAGATGCACTAAATCAGAATGCTAAACAATGTAAGTACCTTTTAGAAATGGATATTACTAGCCAGGTGCTGCTGGCTCACCCCTGTAATCCTAACTACTCAGGAAACTGAGATCTGAGGAGGCTGAGATCTGAGGATTCGTGGTTCAAAGCCAGCCCAGGAAGGAAAGTTGTGAGATTCCTATCTCCAATAAACCACCAGAAAACCAGAAGTGGCACTGTGGCTCAAGTGGTAAAATACTAGGCTTGAGCTGAAGAGCACAGGCCCAGAGTTCAAGCCCCACAACTAGCCAAAAAGAAAAAGGAAAGAAAAGAAAAGAAAGAAATGGATATTATTTAGAAGTTTACATACAAACTTTATAGAAATTTATCCATTAATTTACTTATTTATTTTTGTACCTATCCTGGGGCTTGAACTCGGGGTCTGAGCACTGTCCCAGAGCCCTAAGCATTAGCTCAAGGCTAATGCTCTACCACCTGAGCCATAGCTCCACTTCTGGCTTTTTGGTGGTTAATTGGTGATGAGTTTCATTGACTTTCCTGCCTAGGTTGGCTTTGAACTTGTGATCCTCAGATCTCAACCTCCTAAGTAACTAGGATTACAGATGTGAGCTACTAGCACTTGACTTAGAAGTATATTTTGTTTACTGTGTAACTATATTAAAGAGATTGCAGGTTTGTGTGTGTGTGTGTGTGAGAGAGAGAGAGAGAGAGAGAGAGAGAAAGAGAGAGACATCTAAAAAAACTTATTAAATTATCATGTCTTTCCTAAGTATCTTTAGTTACATATGAAATACAGGTTTCCTTACTCCCACCACATGCTAAATCACTTTTATAGAACACTATGACGCGTCATAGTGTAACCAGAAGCAAAAATTCCAAGATTCTTTTAATATGTTAATTTTACCTGTTCAAATAGTAGCTCAGGAGAACACATGAAGAATTTCCTGTTTGTTTCAGCCAACCAATGGAAAAATGAATGCTAATTTTCATTATTGGGATACAGTCTATCAAAATAATCTTTTACATTTTACTATCATAAATCTTAATGAGTTTCTAACAGAATGGGAATCCCATGTATATAAATATCTTTGCCATTAAAAAAACTGTTAAGAGGTGGGGAGGATCGGGTAGGGGAGTTGGGGGGGGATATGGGAAGGAATGGGAAGGGGAAACAAAGGAGGAGTCAACAATGCTTGATAAGAAATTTACTCATTATCTTGCCCATGTAATTGTAACCCCTCTGTACAGTATTTTCACAATAAAAAAAAGAAAAAAAACTGTTAAGATCAGTTTTACTATAAAACTGGACTGCTGTCTTAGGCACAGACAGCATTGGTGTAGAGTTCACAGCAGTTAGTAAGGGCCATGGCACTGAATTCCTTGTCTTCCCAGGGACCCGAGAAAGAAGGTAGGTTGGTGCCATTCAGAGAAGTACTTAAATGAAAAGCCATAGAGATACACAGTGGGTTAGATGAAAAACAAGGCAAGAAAACATAATCATTAAAGTACACCAAGTATATGAAAATAAAGACAAAACAAAACAAATGGATCCATCAAGCAAGTACTTTAAATGTATTTTCTCATTCATAACTAAGTTAATAGACATTGTCAAAGAACCCTACCATGGTGCATTTAGATGCTTCTTTTCTAGGTGTTTGAGGTAAAATCTGCATTGTAATGATATAAAATTAAATATTTTTCTAAAAATAATAATAAGGTATGAACCCAAGGCTATTCTCCTCTTGAGAAAGGAAATCTACTTAATTAAATAAATAACACAAAAACATTGTCCCTGGGGCTGGGAAGGTGGCTCAGTGGTAGAGCGCTTGCCTTGCATGCCTGAGGCCCTGGGTTCGATTCCCAGCACCACATAAGAAAAAAGCCGGAACTGGCGCTGTGGCTCAAGTGGTAGAGCGCTAGCCTTGAGCTGAAGAGCTGAGGGCCAGCGCCCAGGCCCAGAGTTCAGGCCCCACGACCGGACCCAAAAATACCTGCCAATGACCCTCAATATATGGCTTTAGGAAATCCACTGATAAACCATACAAAAAGAACATAGGAATTACTATTATTGCAGACCAATGATCTATCCTGCTCATAATTCATCTTTAATAGTACATCAAAAAGATAATTTTGTGAGAACATTGGTTGCCTTCTCTGGTGGCAGCTTCCAAATCGACAGGGTAATACTCATTTACTTGGCCTGACAATCTGCTAACCAGCTAACTGCAAAATATCTACTCAACAGTGAACAGATCACATACTTATTTATAACTTCCAAAGCTAGCTTTAGCTCTGGAACCCAGACTCCAGCTGGACTGTAAATACCTTTACACTGTAGTTATATAGGTACTCCCAACATGTCCAAAACTGAATAGGGCAATAAAGTATCTATCCCCTTTCTTCCCATCTCTGGAATTAGTCCTCTTTCTCCCAGTGAAAAAATGGCACTCCTTGGACCTACTTGCCCAAGCCAGAAAAAAGACAGTCCCTTTCATCTTCATCACATCCCTTCCTCCTACCTAGTTGAGGATCAACACCACTGATTTTCCCTGGACTAGTACATCTTTTTCTTCACAACTACCTAAATTCAGTTCTCACCATCTCAACTACAGCAGTATGATTTTTGGTCTCCCTGCTATCCAAAAGGCTACCAAAAAATATATCTTTTGAAAAAGAATAGTTAATCATGCCAGTATTCAAATTTTTCAAGGTCAAAATAAAAATTCCTTAGTGTTTCATGCAAGGTCTTTTATGATATTTCAGCCTTATTCTCCTCACTTGCCTATGTGTTCAAGTACACATACTTTTCACTTTGACAGTACCATACATTCCATTTCCTCATATACATTCTTTTATATGTCATAAAAGTTTTCAGTTAGTGATATGTTCTCTTCATGTCCTGGAATTAGTTGAACAAGTTCATTCTTACACTATATAAACTAACCATGATTTTTAAATTAAATTTTTGTCTTTTTTTATGTGTATGTCAGTCCCTGGGGCTTGAACTCAGGGTCTATACTCTGTCCCTAAGCCTCTTCTACTCAAGGCTAGTGCTCTACCACTTGTGCCACAGCTATATTTCTGGCTTTTTTTGTAATTTAACTGATATAAGCCTTACAGATTTTCCTGCCCAGGCTAGTTTTGAACCTACTCAGCCTCTTGAGTAGGTAGGATCAATTTTGGTCTTCATTTCTGTCTGAAGAAGACTATACGTTATTAGCCACTTAGGGCCATCACTGAAGTTCCATGTCTTTCAGTAACAATAAATACAGTAGCTTCTTATCAGAGAAACAATGCTTCTTTTGACTCTCTACTGCTTAGGACCCTACAACACAGTAGAAACTTGTTTGGCCAGGGCAAAATAACACAGATCTACACCATCACAACTACCTATATCTTCTCTCATGTACTTTACTCAGTCTCCAGAGGACTATCTATCCTCAAGGCCTTATTTCTCATACCTCCAGAGGACTGTTTCATGGAGGACAGCCTGTAAGAAGAGGAAGCAGGGACTCAGTGATCACTTACCTCTGAAAGAGCTCTCTACAACACATATAGGTCTCATACGTTCTGTTGACAAAACTTGTGTTCAAGAAGGAGAGACAGTCAGTTTCAGCTCCCCTGGGGACATAGAGGATTCCTGGAAAATGAAAGTATATACTAAGGGGGAAGATCTGACCTGTTTCTTAGAGTTGTTTCTTGTTTAGTTCTGAATTGAAACACTGTAGAAGAGGAACCCTTCCTACTCAATTGTGGAATGGAGAATTAAATCAATGTTCTGAGAGATATCTTGTCATGACCTATGTAAGTGATTTCAGCCAAGAGACCATGCTGAGGCACCTACCTGCCATACAGGCACTGATAAGGGATACACAGGCTCCTGTGAAGAGGGCCCTGACCACAACCTTAGAAAAGTCACTCTTCCGTTGGGGTGCTAGTGATGCTGCAGACAACACAAGAAAGTTAAATTGATCTCTTCCCTACCCAGCAATTCCACGAGTCCCCATTTAGAAGAATGTAGAGGAAGAAAACCCAGCAGATAAATATGGTGATGGTGTTACTACCAATCACCTGGGGGTGCCAGTGCTCTCCTGAGAAGTATATATATACATTTAACGAGGGATCACCAACTCAAACTTTTTTTTGGGGGGAAGGGTCGGTCATGGGGCTTGAACTCTGGGCCTGGGCACTGTCCCTCAGCTCTTCAGCTCAAGACCAACGCTCTACCACTTGAGCCACAGCACCATTTCCGGTTTACTAGTGGTTTATTGGAGGTAAGAGTCTCACAGACTTTCCTGCCTGGGCTGGCTTTGAACCGTGATCCTCAGATCTCAGCCTCCTGAGTAGCTAGGATTACAGGTGTGAGCCACCAACACCCAGCTTCAAACTTTTCTTGAGTCAGGGATTGTGCATTTGATCTTCACTTCAATGATTCTGTGAACATATCCAAGATGTATCTGGAACAAGCAAGGCTCTGAGTTGTGCTAGGCAATGTACAAATGCCTAGTGTTTTCCAGTTGAGATCGATACTTTAAAGCCTGGACCAGAATTATATGGACCATTTTGATCCAGTGGTCTTAGCAGAGCAACAGTCACTTAAGCCTTAGACATACATGCATATCCCAATACTAGATGCTATTTCACAATAAATATCAATCAGACATCAGAGTTAAAGCAATATAGATAGATGTTTAATAGAAGGGAAAAGATAAACTATAATGATCAAATTGTTCAATCAGCTACAAATAAATAAATTTAATGGTTCTATTCCAGAATATAATTGCCATAACATGGTGATTTTTTTATACACTGAATTGTATTTCTTCTTCTACTCCATTTATTCTATGATTCATTTCTAACTTTAATCTTCCAAACCACTGGGGATCTGCTAGTCATTCACCTGCCCTTGCCTTCCAGGACCATTCCACCTTCCTCATGTTATTCTTCCAATAATCAGCCACATTCAGCAATATCTCCATCAGTTCAATCTATTTCAAAGACTAATTCCTCCCACAATTGGTGAGTCTAAGCCTTTAACCCAATACTTTATCCCATGCACTTTTATTATCTATTCTATTGCTTTCATTTATATTATTTTTTTGTTTTGTTTTTTGGTTGGTTGTGGGGCTTGAACTCTGGGCTTGGGCGCCGTCACTGTGCTCTTCAGCTCAAGGCGAGCACTCTACCACTTGAGATACAGCACCACTTCTGGTTTTCTAGTGGCATATTGGAGATAAGAGTCTCACGGACTTTCCTCCCCGGGATGACTTTGAACTGCCATCCTCAGATCTCAGCCTCCTGAGTAGCTAGGATTATAGGCATGAGCCACCAGCACCTGGCTTTCATTTATATTATTTTTATTCCTGTGTAAATCTTGATTCTATGGAAACAGATGGTGAGTAGACTAGTTTCAGAAAATATCTTTGTTACTAACTGAAAAAATTATATGTGTACTGTAGTACACATATATTTTAATGGAAAATAGAAATGTATCATTATATTTTCTCCCTCAGGTAAAATAAAAATAACCTTGGGCATTTGATACAAAGAAAAAAGGACTCTCTGCAAGTGATTATCCAAGTTAACTGAAGCCTATAGGTCCCATTTCGCATCAGTTTCTCTATCAAATCTCAACTTGTATTAAGCACCAAGCTCACTACAAAAGTTGGGATCTGGCTGGTTTATTGGAGAGCTGGGAAAAGTTAACAACTCACTCAAGCCTCCCAGTGTGATTCCTATGGAACTAAGATTGGCAAATCCACAGAGTGCAAATGTTGTAATGATTTCAGCTCTCACCTAGGAAAAACAAAAAAATGATAAGCAGATAAATTCAGTCCCATGTGTGCAGTCTTATAATCACAATAGATGTTCCAGAGTGCTTAGAGCACCTACTTTTTTCTATACTATTTTAAGGAGCACACAAATAATGTTAGAAAATAACTGCCTGCTGAGTTACAATGGAGATAAAAATATTCTAACCACCATGATAAAGGCTGTGAATAAGGAGAAGAAATAGGATAAGGATGAATAAATAGGATGATCTAGAAAGACAAAGGAAGAGGAAAAAGAAGTAACTTCATAGCCATTTAATCATAAAAATGAAGAAGGGGCTTAGACGTCCAAAAAACTGTGACTTCTCTCAACTGCCTTAACTGTAAAGACTCAACAATTATAAAGTTAGGTCACTGCAGGGGAGAAAGAACCCACAGACCTTGCAGTAGTTAGTTCCGGTACCAAAAACAAGGTTGCTGAGAAACCATGCTTACTTTGTGGTTAGGTCTGCAATCCTGGAAAGCACCTTTGGATCGACCACCAACTTCTGTATTTCACTTTCTGTCTGCCCTCAGATATCCATTACCAAGACCTTGTGCTGGTTATGCTTTTCTGGATTGTCACTTACAGAAATCCACTGTTTCTCTCCCTCCATCCATTCTTCTATTCCAGATAGACGTCTGTTCTTATATTGAGATAGTTGCTGATAGGCCACAAATTCGTTTATGAAGAATTTGATTCCCACTATTTCAGCCACCACTGGACAGTCTGCCCACTCTACACCCATCATAAAAACCATGGGCCTTAGGACATAGGAACAGATGACCTGAGTAAAAGAAAGAAACCCCAAGGGGGAGGGAGAAACAACAAATAACAAAAGCCTGTTGCCTTTTCTGGAACTTTGATCCAGTCTTTTCCTCTTCTCTTCCCTCTCTTCTTAATGCTTTCTCCCAGCTTACTGTGAATCCAGAGGACATATTCAATTTAAAGATTATTTAACCACCAGGAGGAAGAAAATCAACAAATATAATCCTATACCTGGAAGGTGAGCCCATGTATATTCACCAGTTCTCCCAGCCAGGAGAGAGTAGCATTGATGAATGCCAAAACAGCCAAAAAGGCAATCAAATTTCCTGCTACATTAGCAACAAGCGCTATGGCATCTGTAGCTCCATTACTGGCAGCTTCCAAGATATTCTTCTCTTTCCTGTGGTTATCAAGCATGAGGAAAGAATGTTACCTACAGCAGTCTCAGGCCCTCAAAGAAGAGTAAGCATTTCTTTGTAGTGCAGGAAGTGGGTACAAGACCACTGTGAGGGGTGGTGGAGTTCCTTAGTGAGTGCATTTGTGGAGATTAGAAGTTGTATCAGATATAATGACCATCTAATTACACTGATACCAAGGTCAGAGAGGATGGGAATACCAGAAGCTAGTGGCAGGTGTGAAGCTTAAAGCAAAGAAAATGAAGATGAGTATCTGGAGGCAGAGACAGGCAAGAGGGAACATGGAATCTCATTCTTTCTTTTGGGAAGGCTTGAAGTCTGTGCTCTCTACAAGGCTACTCCTAACTTCAACTGCCTCACCATCTCTCAAGTTACATGCTCCACAGACTCACCCACGATGCAGTTTCACTCCCTCTTTACTCTTGAATTTGGACTCTTCTACTTCTGGATATACCAGCTTAGACAAGGCAAGAGCACAAGGGGCAGCCATCACGGAGGCAGAAATCAAGGACGATGCATCAATCTGTAATACCAGACTGAGGTCAGCATCACTGTAGAACCCAGCATGGGCTCATCCAGGAATGATCATGTGGCTGTGCCTACCCCAAAGGATATGAAGGCTCCCAACACAGTGCCTGCAATGGTGGCAAACCCTCCAGTCATCACTGCATGGATTTCAGAAAGAGTCATGTCTGCAAGGTAGGGACGGATGAGTAGAGGTGCATCTGTCTATAAACAAGGAGAGAATAGTCATGTTCCAAGAGGGTATGATTCCTTATGCCAAAGTCCCAGCCCCATCCAGAGACTCAGCTTATTACACACAAAGTGTGAGTGCTATTCAATAGACAGACAGCCTGCCAGGTAAACAACAAGCTCTGCTCTTTGCTCTTCCAGAAACTTCCTTACTCCCCCAGCACCTAATCATGATATCACCTCACCAGTGATGTGTTCCTTTGTTTTCAGTGTCTAAAACAACACACTGGCTGAATGAGTTTGTGGAATATAGCATATTTCCTGAAGACATATTAGACCCTTACATATATTCATTACATGAATTACAAATCACTGATTGAAGCCATTTTTATGAATGAATCAAAAGAAATAATGTCTGTGAAATCTATAAAATTAGAAGGCCCAACTATGAAAGCTACATTTAGCATATACCTAAGATTTATCTATCATGTAATAGGTACCAACTAAAGTATTGATGTACTGTACTAAATCTGAGGGATATTAATATGAATAAGGCAAAGTTCCTACTCTTAAAAGATTATAGTCTAGCAGGCCAAACTAGAATGATTATAGATAATCAACTTACATCCTTGGGAGAAAAAGACCTCAGAAATAACTACTTGCTAATTTGACAAGTTATAATCCCTAATGTTGAACTGATGTCAACAGTGTCTCTTGAGTACCTACTCCATTCAAGACAACTATTCTACAGACACATGTATTATGGAAAAAAATCTTCATGTTAGTCCTGAGCAAGACAAGCTGTTCCCTCATTGGAGACTCTGGAAAAGAAAGGTTACAGGAAGTCGAAGGAAAAAAAGGGAATAATACTTGGACCAGGTCATTTGCCCGTATTACCATGTAAGAAGTTGATTCAAGTCTAGGCTAGAGGATCACCAGTTCAAGGCCATCCTGAGCTACATATTGAGTTCTATCTAGTACAGCCTGAAGCTGTATGACAAGGTCTTTAAAAAAAATCGGGACTGGAGGCTCATTCCTATAATCCTAGCTATTGAGGAGGCTGAAATCTGAGGACTGTGGTTAAAAACTAGCCCATGCTGATAAATACAAGAGATTTTTTTTTAATCTCCAATTAACCAGAAAAAAAGCTGGAAGTGAATGTGTGGTTCAAGTAAGTGTCAGCTTTGAGCAAAAGAGCCAAGTGGCCCTGAGTTCAAGCCCCAGTTCTGGCAGAGAACGAGACAGGGGGATGGGGAGAAAGAGAGAAAGAGAGAAAAGGAAGAAGAGTAGTACCAGTGGCTAAAACTGTCCATTCATATTAAGTGTGCCTTAGTAAGCATTTTTAGGCATTAATGATGGAAGCTAGAACTGAGTCCTCTGAGTTTAAGAAGGATTCAGAGTACTTACCATCCCCACAAAGATGTTTCCTGCTACAACCAGGGTCTCTGTGGCAGTGGTTCCCATGGTGATTTGCAAAACCCAGGTAATCTAAAAGAATTCAGAGTACTAATCCATCAATATCAGGAGGCTTGGAGGATGCCCAACAAAACCTCTATTCCTCCTGACACAGAAACTGATAAGAAAACTCAAGGCTACAAAAATGGTGTATCACAGAGTCACAAAACAAGTTGTAAACAATCTTAACCAAATCATGGGTTTCTTCAATTCAAGAGCAAGTACATTCAAACTGTATGAAAACGTGGTCCAGCTTAGCTTTTCTCCCTGCTCTGCCCATTGGCCCTAGGACCTGGCTGACCACTTAATATCAGAATGCTTAGGAATGCTTGCCATTTCTTTTTCTTTTTCTTTTGGCCAGTCCTGGGGCTTGAACTCAGGGCCTGGGCACTGTCCCTGAGCCTCTCTACCACTTGAGCCACAGCACCATTTCTGACTTTATCTGTGTATGTGGTGCTGAGGATTTGAACACAGGGCTTCATGCATGCTGGGCAAGCACTCTACCACTGAGCCACATTCCCAGCCTCGTGTTTGCCATTTCATATTGTTTTTACAGAACAACATACTCTACCTCCTATGGATGAGCATATTTCCAAAGTGAGGGTCATTTTTATGCCCTTGACAGATCCCAAACTGGAAGCCCATGTCCTAACTTATATAAGAAAATGACTCACCTTCTGAATTACCCACTGCACGAGGCCCAGATAATACAGAATGGACATCACACATCCAAAGAAAAGGATGATTGGTAAGGACTGTAATGACAATGTTGGGCATCTAGTGAGAGATTACTTTATATGATATATATGTATGTATATATATATATAATATATAATAAGTAAACTGTTTCAGCCTTCTAAATTTAGATGTCAGTATTCTAGTTTTGTTTAGGAATTCACTACATTTTAGGAATAAATTCTAAATATGCTGCAAATCCTTCAGTACTAACAAGATGTTTCTGAGCTTTCTTCCTATCACTCTTTCATCCAGTTTCAAGATAGTAATGATCAAATGCAAGGGATAGATGCTGTTTCCTTTACTGATGAAGTTAAACTCTTATAGTCATATTGGTCTACAGGCTAACTGATCTCTTCTTTTTTTCTTTTCTTTTTTGCCAGTCCTGGGCCTTGAATTCAGGGCCTAGGTCCTGTCCTAAGCACCTTCTGCTCAAAGTTAGCACTCTTACCACCTGAGCTACAGCTCCACTTCTGGCTGTTCCTGTTTAATTGGAGATAAGAGTTTCACACACTTTCCTGCCAGAGCTGGCTCTGAACTGTGATTCTCAGATCTCCGCCTCCTGAGTAACTAGGATTACAGACAGGAGCCACCAGCACCTGGCTGGCTGATCCCTTAGACATACATTTCTTCCTTTGTTTTACTCCTCAACCCCTCTATTGCTCATCTTTCTTGACCATGAAACAGACATAACCTGAAAAGCAAAGACATTTTGGATCAGCTCCTCCCCGAAGACAAAACTGGAACCAGCCACAGTGTAGTTCAGGAAAATCTGAAGAAGGGAAGGGGAGAATACAGAAAACAAGAGTGAATCCTGACAGGACACACAAGAGAAGATGGGATCTGCATCTTCTGTGATTAGGATTTACTGCTGGGACTAAAGTTGGTTTCCCTTTCACCGCCTTTGGGCAAGCTGTGTCCCCACAAGTGACTCATTGAATAACACTCAGCAGATCAGTTCTCTCATATATTTTGCTATACTCCATTACTTTCTCTTTTTACAAACAGATCTTACACCAACACCATTAACATGATGCAGCCTAATCTTATGCTTCCTTCACATCTCCCTTCTCTACACTTCTTTTTCTGTTGGTCATGGGGCCTTGAACTCTGGGCCTGGGCACTGTCCCTTAGTTCTTCAACTTAAGTCTAACACTCTACCACTTGAGCTACAGTGCCACTTGTGGTTTTCTAGTGGTTTATTGGAGATAAGAGTCTCACAGACTTTGCTGCCGGGACTGGCTTTGAACAGTGGTCCTCAGATCTCAGCCTCCTGAGTAGCTAGGATTACAGTTGTGAGCCACTAGCACCCAGCTCCTTCTCTACACTTCCAAAAGACCAAACCTTTCATTCAGTTTTCATACCTGGATCTGTTCCCCCAGCCACTGAAATGCTTTAAATCCAGGATCTGTTCTGATGACCACGATCCCAAAGACAAATTGAAGACCCAAGCCCCAAAACACCGTTCTCCAGGACACCTACAATCAATAAGAAAATCAATCCAATATAAGTTCTAACCCCTATTGGACAATGCATGTGTATGAAATTTTAAAATGGATATATAAGCCCTAGGTGAAACCAATCTAAGATTTTAATAGTAAGTCTAGGATAGAATGGTATAGGGAACAGAGAGAATGTTAAAGAAAAATATGACAGGAATTTATAAATCACAAAATATGTCCAAGCCCAGATTATGTATTGAAATGTGATATTGCTATTTTTTACCTGAACTAGTCCTACCTGCAATCCTCCAAACCTCTGTCTTCTGAGTAACTGGGATTATAGGCATGCTTTATAATACCAACCAGTTCTATGCCTTTTAACTAATACTTGACACATACAATTTTTTTGGTTGGTCGTGGGGCTTGAACTCTGGGCCTGGGGGCTGTCCCTTAGCTCTTCAGCTCAAGGCGAGCAATCTACCACTTGAGCAACAGTGCCACTTTCTGACATACATATTTTTAAATTATGTAATGCTCTACACAAAAATTAGTACTTGGGCCTTGTTGTTATGTAATGTTATGATCAACTTGAATACCCAAAACTCACTGCACTGTGGTGTTTGGAGCAGACAAACAGGATGAGGATGAACATACAAATTCCTGCAAAGGAGATTAGCTGTTCCGGCCTTTGAGCGGTGTCAAGAGCTAACCACAGGATGAGGCCAACCACTGAGAGTCCTGAGAACCCCCTGAAGAAGGAAGACCAAGTCTATGTTGTCAATGCAGTAAATGAAAAACAATAAATTCACCTCTGAAAAGCAGAAATTCAGCCCAAGAATAAGTGAAATATCTCAACAGTTTGTTGATTAGAGAGATATTTTGAGAATCATTTATCTAGTAGTTCTCTAGTTTCTACCTCTTTTCCCCCAACTTTTTCTTACAATCAAATCACAAACTTCCTTTTTCTCAGGCTTCCATATCAATGAGATGTGATATAAAAACTTAATCTTGAATAACCAAAAGACTAAATACCAAAAGGAGGAAAACTATGCACTGAGGGCCTTTACACAATTTTTTTTACCACTCTAAGGTTAAGATTAAAGACCTAGTCACAAATCAAGTATTTAAGGGCTCATGGTCCTTTCATGTAACAAACACATTTGACTAATGACAGACTGGTATTCTCATGTCTGAGTGTTAGAGCCCTTCAAGTCCAAGAAGAAAAGAATTAGAAAAGAGATCAGGGATGAAACCAAAACAAAAAGAACACAATGTTCACTGAGATACTTCTGGAGCAAAACAATGAAATTCATTATATGTCAGAATTGGAATTTGGAGCTCTTCTCCTGGAAGCCCATCTCATGAAGTAAAATCTGACTTTCATAATCGATTTTGCTTAATGAATAAAGTCATTTTAAGCTCTATTTCCCTAGTGTCAAATAATTATAACCCAAAATTTAAGTGTAATCTGATGTTGTATCTCCAAATTATCATTGTTATAAACATTAACAAAATCTATTATCTGTGCATCCACCAAGGAAAGGGCAAAAATAAGAACTTTGTAAATAAAGTTGTAAAGTCATTCTCTTAATCCTGACTTATGACCAAAGCACATGTGCATGCCATGGATAGATGAGCTATGGCTACTGTAAATCCAGTACAGTATATATTAAACAGGAAGTTTGCTTTTAAATTCTAAGGAAATGTAAAAGACATCCAAGGGTGCAGGAAGTATGGAGGACTAGAGAAAAGAATGTATAAAATGTAACAGGGATTATAGGAGAAATAGAGGACCAGCAAATCAACTTCATAAGTTATTGTAGCTGCTAATGTCTTTGTTTTGATTCCTTCATTGAAGAAATGCATGGATTTTTCTCATTTCTGACCTGGGCTCTAATGCTTAAAGACACTGAAACTTTTCTCTGAAGCCGAGTCCCTCCTGCTCCCTGACAATGTTAACCCATGAATATAAGAAACTGGACTTAAATCTGGTGATTAGATGCCTGTTGCTATTTGTGCTCCACAACAACAAATTTTGCAGAGTATAGGTGAGAAGCTGAGAGATCACTCTGGAACTGTCAATGGAGGGCAAAATACAAAGAATTAGACTGGAATCTGAGATTCACTGGGGGCATCCAGGATGTTGAGAATTCTTTTTTTTTTTTTTTTTGTCATGGGGCTTGAATTTTGGGCCTGGTTTCTGTCCCTGAGCTCTTCAGCTCAAGGCAAGCACTCTACCACTTGAGCCACAGTGCCTACTTCTGGCTTTTTCTGTGTATATGGTGCTGAGGAATTGAACCCAGGGCCTCATGCATGCAAGGCAAACACTCTACCACTGAGCCACCTTCCCAGACCTGAGAATTCTTATATTACTGTTATGAATCTAAAATATTGCCCAAAACCTCGTGTGTTAAAGTCTTGATCCACAGTGCAGTAGTATTTAGAAGTGGGACTGCTGGAGAATAACTGGATCACAAGGGTTCTGATATCATCAGTGGATTAATCCAATGATGGATTTCTAATTGAGAAAAAGACTGCATCAAATGAAGGCACCAATAAAGGTCTATATTCTCTGTTAAAAACTGTAGAAGGGACATAGTTAGAAGAAGTAGTTACTATGGGTATATTGAAGAGTATAGTTTGTCTCATAGCTCTTGCTTTTACTATCTTTGCTTCCTGGATGCTGGAGATGAGCAGCTGTGCTCAGTCATGTGCTCTCTACCATGATACTCTGCCTTCCAACAACCCCACAGTGATAAGACCTAGCAACAAGGGACTGATAACTCTAAAACCGTGACCTGAAATAAACCTTTGCTCCTCCAAGTTCTTTTTCTGAGGTTTTTTGATCAGATAAACCAAAAGCTAACACACTTACCATTTCATCCAGCGTCTTAGGTGGGGGTTTTTAAAGGGCTTCAGATATCTTGTTAAATTTTTACCAAAGAACTTTTTTAGAAAGTGAGAAACCAGGATAAATATTACTAGGCAGGTGATGACAAACAAAGCCAGTGCCCTCTGGAAATCCAGGATGCAAGCTGCCAGGAAGTAAGCAGCATAAGCTAAAGAAAGAAAGTGAAGGTAAGGGTCAGCAAGACAGAGCCTTCACAGAGCAAATGAAGCTTCAACCCTAAGCACCTGGGACTTATAGCAAGAGAAACCTTCCAGAGATCTTGCCACCCAGTCTTCCTGTCAAATTGGACTGCACTACTCGAGGCCAGGCAGTTGTTTGACTGCAATCTTCTTGGGATTCCCAAAGACAGTCTTACTTACTTAGTTTGACCACATATTTTCACTTGCTTCTGGTGAAATCTTATTCCTTTCCTTTAATCTGCTATCTTCTCCCTACCCATCACATATATTTGATCAGCATCCATCTTAGACACTTCAAAAACCAGTCAGTCATCTATTTTTGAAGCTTTATTAGCCCAGTTATATTAAAATGTTACCCTTTTTTCTTGTTCAAAACCAGGTAAATAAGACTACCACTAAGAAGTAAAGCCATGTATGACCCATTGTTCACCAACTGAACCCAACAATTTTTATCTCACTACATAGGCTGCCTCTAATGTTGACATCAAAGCCCTACATGTTACTGACAGAAGACTTTAAATACAGTTTGGTTGTCTTTTAAAATACTTTCCACTTAGTAATCAACTTGACACAAAGTAACATTCCTAAAATGAGTATGTTTCTAGCTTCCACTAATTCTCAGTATCCTTTTTTTTTTTTTTTTTTGGGCCAGTCCTGTGGTTTGTCCCTGGGCTCTGTCCCTGAGCCTCTCTGTGCTCAAGGCTGGCACTCTACCACTTGAATCACGGTACCACTCTGGCTTTTTCTGTTATGTGGTACTGAGGAATCAAACCCAAGGCTTCACACATGCTAGGCAAGCACTCTACCACCAAACCACATTACCAGCCCAATTCTCATTATCTTACCAACACATAACAGGCCCAACATGATGTTCTTGAACAATCTGGCATGTCTTTCCCAGAAACCTCTTGCCTTAATGAAAGGTTGTAGATTTCTCCTGATAAAAACCCAAAATTAAAATAAAAGAATTATTCCATCCCATTTATGCTTTTTTTCAGAATTTTCCTGGCCCAAGGCAGAATTTGCTCTGAGTAACAAAATATTTATTTCAATTAAGGACAAGTTAAGTAGTATTACAGCAATGCCCCAAAGAACATATCTAGCCTTGTCAATTTGTAGCAGATTACAATGACCCTATTCAGCCTGGACTAGGATTACTGTTGGTAATTTCCTGCCACAGAAGTTGTTGATAGTAGTCTTATTAGCAATCTACTCTTTTCCTGTTTCCAAAGAACAGAGGGCCAGTTCTTACAGATAATTTGTATCTGTCCCTAAAAGCCATACATTCTATCTTTACTAGACAGCCAGTGTACACTGACAAACGGGAAGGAAAACAGCACCAACCTCAAGAGTTCCTGGGTTGGCAGTATACAAGAAGATGCCCTGTAAGCAGCCAGCACTATTTAAGTCTGATTTAAGCAACATTTGTATAGTGTTTTCCATGCGTTTTAGCTCTAAGAACTTTGCAAATATTAAGTCATTAAGTCTTCCCAAGAACCACCTGGAGGTGGTTACATTTTCCCTATCCAATCATTGTTATTGGAAACCTAGACTATTTCCATACCTTGACTTTGGCAAATTGTAATGCTATAAACATAGATACAGATATCTTTCTTATATGTTGTTTTATATTCCTTCAGATATATGCCCACGAGTTGTACCGGTTTCATACGGCAGCTCCATTTTCAGTTTCTTGAAGAACCTCCATACTGATTTTAATAGAGGCTGAACTAGCATTCCCATTAACAATGTATAAAGTTTCTTCTCTTCATTTCCTCTCCTATCTCTATGTGTATTTGTTGTATGACCCATGAAGAAGAAATTACAGTTGTTAAGACAGATGCGCCAAACCGTGGCACATGCAAGTTCATTAAACAAGCACTTCTGAACTTACAAGCACTGATGTACACTTGTACAGTAATATCGTACAGTAATATCAGGAAATGTCAATACTCCAGTTTCACCAACATATAGGCCATCCACAAACACAAAAAAAATCATTTTCAAAATCTGACTTTAAAGACTTACATATACAGATAGAGAAATAGATGATAGAGATATACTTACAAATCAATATATACCCACATATGCATTGTATCTATATAAAAATGGCATAAGAAATTTCTGAAAGCTGTTAATAGGGAATGGAAATGGGCAAAGAGAGTAATAACATGGATTATTATGGTTTAATGTATGTGGGGTTGGGGAGGTGGCTCAGTGGTAGAGTGCTTGCCTTGCATGCATGAGACCCTGGGTTCGATTCCTCAGCACCACATAAGCAAAAAGAAAAAAGCCAGAAGTGACGCTAGCCTTGAGCTGATGAGCTGAGGGACAGTGCCCAGGCCCAGAGTTCAGGTCCCATGACTGGCCCCCCCCCCCAAAAAAAAAAAGGAGGATAAAAGAGTAATAGAAGGTAAATTTGATCAAAGTACATTACCTGCATATATGGAAATACTACCATGAAGCCCTTTGTATAATTAATATATGCTAATAAAAATGGAGATCCTATTTTCTCCTGCCTGGTTTTACTCTTGTTCTATATCTATATCTCCCCCGACCTGTCAGATTTCCCTGGACTACACTGTGTGACTGGCTCCAGGTTTTTTTTGTTTTTGTTTTTTGTTTTGTTTTTGTTTGTGTTTTGTCAGCTGTGGGGCTTGAACTCTGGGCCTGGATGCTGTCCCTCAGCTCTTTAGCTCAAGGCTAGTGCTCTACCACTTGAGTCCACAGCACCACTTCCAGTTTTCTGAATGGTTTATTGGAGATAAGAGTCTCACGGAGGGCTGGGAAGGTGGCTCAGTGGTAGCCGCTTGCCTTGTATGCCTGAGGCCCTGGGTTTGATTCCTCAGCACCACATAAGCAAAAAGAAAAAAGCCGGAAGTGGCGCTGTGGTTCAAGTGGTAGAGCTCTAGCCTTGAGCTGAAGAGCTGAGGGACAGCGCCCAGGCCCAGAGTTCAGGCCCCACGACTGGACCCCCCCCCCAAAAAAAAAGAAAACTCTGTCCAGGTGCCAATGGCTCACACCTGTAATCCTAGCTACTCAGAAGGCTGAGATCTGAGGATTGCGGTTAGAAGGCAGCAGGGGCAGAAAAGTCCTCAAGAGATGCTTATCTCCAATTAACCACTCAAAAAACCAGAAGTGGCACTGTGGCTCAAGTGGTAGAGTGTTAGCCTTGAGCAAAAAAGCTCAGGGATAGCACCTAGGCACTGAGTTCAATTCCCGAGACCAACACAGACACACACAGGCACACACAAACACACACACACACACACAATCACCAACTAAGTTAAAGCCTTAGCATTCATCTCTTTCACATTCATCTCATAACCTGATGAATCAATCCTCTTAGCTATCTTGAACCTTACAGTGTACTTTTGTCTTATCACTTATACTTTGATCTATGAACACTCAGGAAAAATGAAATGATTTCCCAGCAGCATCATTTAGTTTATGGCTCAGTCAATTGCATGTCCTGAAATTCCCTCCCCCAGTTCTAAGCTATTTCTGGGCTATATGGTCAAAAGGTAGGAAGAAATACCTCTGTTTCTGCAAAATTGTATAGTCTTTCAAGAGATTTTTTTCCTGTACTTTCACAATTCATCCTCACAATATCTCCCACAGGTAATTTAGTCAGCTACTAATCTGGTTTATTTATATATAAATAAAAATGGACTCAAAAGCGATGAACAACTTGTCAAAAATTGTTGTACAGGAACTTGGTCACAAGAAAACAGGGAAGCCATATTTTGAGAGGTTGAATTGGGAGTCTTTATTGGAGAGACAGTGTCGGCAGGTGAACTCCTGTCTCAAAGACCTGCAGCCTGGAAAAAGAGCACAAAGCTTTTAAAGGCAAAAACCACATATTAGGGTGGAGACCAAGCATTAACAAAAGTGTTATATATAAAACAAAGCAAGCTAGACAAGGACACATATTCCTAATAAAAGTGTTATACACAGGCAAAGCAGGCTATCCAGGGTTCAATAGGGGGTAATCAGGACCCCAATTATCTAGAAAAAGCATAAGCTTCCTAGAACCTAACAACTTATGACATATTTGCAATCCAAAGCATGTCCTCTATAACCTCTAGAGTTCTCAGAAAGTCTCCATCTTCTATTAACTTCTATCAAGATGCCAAGATGACATTTCTTAGATGTAGTATCCCTATTTCAAAATAATACTGTTAGGGTAGAGCTGGAATGAGAAAACAGCTTTACCTCTATAAAATTGATCTGACTGATAATGCAACACTAATAAGGTCACTTTGCGATTGTGGAGAAGTGGGAGGAGGGGGGATCTGAGGAATTGATTAAATGGAAAAATTACACTTAGAGGAAAGGGGGAAAAATCAACAACTGAAAATTTCTAGTTTCTTATCACTGGCTGAATTAATGTTAAGTGAAAATACTATATTCTGTTAACTTTTTATCAATTAAGGAAGAAAATAGATTTGGAAATCTTGCTGACTCCATTGAAATTCTACCTCCCCTTCCTTGTTCAATTCTGTCTGACCTGAGTACCAAGGTAAGATAACAAATGTCATAAAGAAGTTATCAGTGGGTGTAGAGGCCAATTTCTCAAAGCTAAATGGGCCTTATGACCTTCCTGCTAATGCCAACTGCACAGGTTTATACTGCTGGCCTCTAAGTAAATGTGTTCAACATTCCAAAAGCATTTGATACAGTGTAGTTTAGGAATAGATTCTAAAAGTTCTGCTAATCTATTACTCCATCAGTACTAAACCACTGGGAGATGTTTTCTGAGCCTTTCTCCCATTCAATTTTCATCTCATTTCAGACAATGATCAAAGGGCAATTCCTTTACTGACAACACTAAATCTTCTTGGGTCAAACTGATCTCTTGGATCTACTTTTTTGCCGGTGGAGGGTCATAGGTCTTAAACTCAGGTCCTGGGTACTGTCCCTGAGCATTTTCTGCTCAAGACTAGTGCTCTACTACTTTTGAGCCACAGCTCTACTTATAATTAACTATTTCCATGGTTAATTACAGATAAAAGTCTCACAGACTAAGATTTCTTACCTGAGCTGGCTTTGAACCGTGATCCTCACATCTTAGCCTCCCAAGAAGCCAGGATTACAGATGTGAGCCACCAGCACCAGGTTTGGATACACGTTTTAATCTTCTCCTTCACTCTCCAGCCCCTCTACTTATTTCATTCCTTCCCATAAAATAGACATAACACAAAGAACAAAGAGGTTTTAGAACAGTGCATCCTCAAAGACAAAACTGGAGCCAGGCCTGGCACTGGTAGCTCTGGCCTGTAATCTTAGCTACTCAGGAGCCTGAGATCTGAAAATCGTGTTTCAAAGCCAGGCAGGGCAGGAAAGTCCGTGAGACTCTTTTTTTTTTTTTTTT